TTAAAAGCACTTCGTCCTGTCTTTAAGTCTTTATCATTTCAATCAGATCTCAATGATTGATGTTTTTACATCACTTCTGTCGCAAATGCTTAGTTTTTCAAGTTGCGACGGAAGTGATGTAGAACATCAATTAATTTACTACATATTTCCCCAGAAACACATAAGGCCACATCAGAAAATCGTTCGTTGGGTGAAACTGAAAATTGTCCCTGCATTCTTTAATTCTCACGTCCTTATTTTATTTGGTGGGTAGGCCATATAACATGCAAAACAATAATGATTAGTTTAGTTTTTGAAAATGGGAATATAAAATACCATTGTGCATTGTTCTTGGACTCGGTATGATTTCTGTTTAAGTAAATTGGAGATCAAGGAGGATGAATTAGTAAAATATTCGTAGCCCTAATCATTAACCTAATCTATGGTAAAAGTTCTGTATATGACTCCTTTCTGGTAACGTTTTGAATTTTTAGATGCGCAGCCAGAGGAAAGGGGGCTTACAAGGGCCATATCCCCAATTGACAGAAAAAAAAAATTTAATAATTAAAAAATTAATAATAATTGATAATGAAAAATTTGTATTTGCATGATTTACAGACAGTGATACACCTATTATGGCATCTCGTGAACGTGATGTTGAAGTTCTTATGCAAGTGGGTCACAGAAAGAAAGAAGAAAATTCAAGAAGAAGAACAGAAAAAGAAAGATGTAAAGAAACTGCAGAAAGATCACAGACATGATCCCGAAAACAGTTTCTGATGTTACCAGTACAGTTGAATCTGCAGATACGTCAGATCATACAGGAAGCCCTCCCTCCATTATTTCTCAGCCAGCATCTACTTCTTTTGTGTTTTCCTCTCAATGTCTCAACGGACATTTCATCCACAGGATTTGTCCTTAAAAAGATCCTGCCCCATGGCCAAATGTAATCCCAGATTCTCTACGAATTTCTTTCATTGCAGAAAACTTCAGTCAACTCTGAACATTTACGTTAGGAAATCAGCAAGGATTTATGATGATGGAAGTCGTCATTGTTTAAAGTCATCTATGTTTTATAGGAAGCTTGCAAATTCAGAAACTGTGAAAAGATCATGGATGGTACACTCTGAAAGCTCAGCATGCAAGCTATTTTCTTTACCAAAGAAAATACCTTCACACTGGGGTTCAATGACTGGAAAAATTCCAAGCGTTTCGAGGAACATGAAAACAGCACCACTCACAGGAGCTGCATTTAGCCAGTGTAAATTTCGTGCACAGAAAAAAG